ATGGATTTCCAGTTTTCCCAGCACCATTTGTTGAAGATGCTATCCTTCCTCCATTTCATGCTTTTAGCCCCTTTATCAAATATAAGATAGTTGTAGTTTTGTGGATTGGAGGTTAAAGTATTTTAACCTTCTGTTTATATACTTTTTTGACCACCCATTAATTCTTTATTAAGGAGCAGAGAAGGAGAAGAATGTATAGAAAGTAAACATAAATCAGCAGCAGTATGAGAAATTCTTATCTGTCTTTGCTGAGAATAGGCATTGCTATATATTTTCTAAACTACTTCTCTAGTGTTCTATTAGTTGTTGAGAGATGGGGTATTAAAATCTCTAATTATAATTATGGATTTGTCTTTCTTTCAGTTCTATCAGTTTTTGTCCATGAATTTTTCAGCTCTTGTGTTTGGATTTCTCTGTCTTCAACATATAATGTCCTTTTTATATTTTATCATTATATAATTTTTTCATTATATCATATAATGTCCCTTCTGTCTCTGTTAATTTTCTTGGTTCTGAAGTTTGTTTGATATTAAAAAATAGTCATGACTGCTTTCATAAGTGTCTGATGGTGTTACCTTAATAAGTTATCATATGGTGAGATTATAGCATATGGTGAGATCATGTTTTAAAATCTATTATTCTAGTCTCTGACTTTTTATTGATGTGTTTAGATCACTTTCATTAATGTAATTGTTACACTAGGGCTTAAATCTTTATTTTTGTTTGCTGGATATTCTGGGATTGTTTTTCCCCCTGTATTCTTTTTTTCCAGCATTCTCTGGATTACTTGAAAATAACTTAGAATTTTATTTTGATTCATCTAGAGTGTTTTTAGCCTATCTCTGTATAGCATTTTTAGTGGATGCTCAAGATATTTTATGTATATATTTCATGTATATGTGTGTGAGTATATATGGAATGTGTAGTGGTTTACCATTGTTGTCATGAGTTGAATGAAATGTAGAAATCCTACCTCTGTATTCCATTTCTCTTTCTATTTATAATTATTCCCTCTCTGTACATTTAGAACCACTTCAGGYAGTATTATCATTTTTGCTTCAACTCTCACAGAATTTAGAAAACTGAAAATAGCAAAACATGCCTGTTGTGCTTCTTATATTCTTGTTTATAATGTTTTCCTCCTTTCTGACTATCAGGCTTCCTTGATATATTTTTCCTTTCTGTTTAGAGAACTTAGTCATATTTCTTTTAGTTTTGGTCTCTTTGTTTCATCTGAAAGTGTTTTGATGTACTCTTTCTTTCTGAAGGATGTAAGTTATATTTCTGGGTATAAGATTCTGAGCTGACAGTATTTATTTATACTTGTAAAATATTATACTACTTCATTCTTGCCTCCTTGGTTTCTAAGAAATGTGCTTTCATTGGAATAGTTTTTCTGTATAGGTAAGGTGTTGATTTTCTTTTACTGCTTTCAGTTTTTTCTTTGATTAGTTTTCCAAAGTTTAATTATAGGGTATGTTGGCATGGATTTCTTTTGGATTTCTCAGGCTTTCTGCATTTGTCTCTTTGTTTCAAATGTGTTCCTATTTATTTACTGAAGCACTTAATAAGCTTTAAAATCTGTTAGAAAACTCTTTTTTAAAAAATATTTTTTTAGTTGTAGATGAACGCACAGTATATTTATTTTTATGTGGTGCCTCACATATGCTAGGCCAGCGCTTTACCACTGAACTACAGCCTCAGCCCCTGTCAGAAAACATGTGTGTCATTTTGGTGTTGGCATCTGTTGTCTTTTTTTTTCCCCCCATTAGTTTGAAATCTTCATGGTTCTTGGTAAGAGTGATTTTTCTATTAAAACCTGGC